CTACACATAATATCCTGGGGAGAGATTAATCTTAATATCAGTGTGATACATACTATGTGTAACATCCTGGAAAGATATTACTCCTAATACATCGGTGGGTGTACGCCCTGTGATATTACTCATTATATTTGGGAAGATGTTACACAGTGTACACCCACTGTGATACCAGGGGTAATACTTCCCAAGTGTATCACACACATCACAGAATGTACACGCACTGGAATATTACCAGTAAGATCTCTCTAAGATATTACAAATAATCTGAAAGGGTGCACTACGCTGAAATATTAGAAGAAATACCTTCCCAGGATATTACAAATAATATCACAGGGTATACACCCATTGTGAAAGTAGGAGTAATGTCTTCCCAGGATATTATGAATATATCACATAGTGTACACCCACTGTAATATTAGGAGTCATATTTCTTTAGAATGTTACAAATAATATCACAGGATGTACACCAACCATGATATTAAAACTATTGTCCTGGAATATTACAAATAATGCACAGTTGTACAGCCTTTGTGATACTTACAGTAGTATCTTTCTAGAATATTACAAAGAATATTAAAGAATGTAAACCCACTGTGGTATCAGGAGAAATACCTCTCTAGAGTATTACAAAAAATATCACATGGCATACACCCACTGTGATATAAGGAGGAATATCTCCCTAAGATATTACAAATGGTATCACCTAGTGTACACCAACTGTGATATCAGGAGTGATATCTAACTGAGATACTGTGAGTAATATCACATGGCATTCATGATATTACTGTGATACTGTGCGTAACATCCTGGTGTAACATCATTCATGTCACTACTGTGACTTGAGCAATTTCTTTCTAGGATATTAGGAATAATATCACAGAGTGTACACTTGCTTTCACAAGGAGAGTAATACCTACTTAGGATATTATGGATAATATCACAAAATGTACACACATGGTGTATACCCACTTTGATATTAGGATTAATACCTATCTAATATACTGAAAATATCCCAGAATGTGCTCATGTGTACATTTATTGGGATGTTACAATAAATGTACATAATGTATACAATATGTACATTTGCATGTACATATGTGCACACAATACATATAAATGTACACATGTACAACAAATGTACATGTGTATACATACAATACATATGTATATAATATGTACAATCTACATTTAAATGTCACATATATACAATACATAAGACAATAAATGTACACATTGTGTATGTATTGTACATATGTATGTATTGTGTACACATGTACATAAACGTTTATTGTGATATTACAATATGTATGTGTGTACATATATGTGCACATTATGCACATAATGTATAATATGCACATGTGCAATATGTACACTTGTACATATATGTGCACATATGTACAATACATACACTTGTACATACAGTGCACATTATGTGCATATATACAATATGTACACACATATAGGTCCACATTATGTACATATGTACACGTACATTTATGGTAATATCACAATAAGTGTACCATAAATGTACATAGTGTGTACATTTATTGTGGTATCTCTGATATTACAAACTATCACAGAGTGTGCATACATGATATACATGGATTGTGTGCATCACTCACTGTGATATTAGGAGAAATAGGATATTATGAACAATACAGGATGTAAACTCAGTTTGATCTGAGGAGTAATCTCTCTAGGATGTTACAAGTAGTATCAATGGATGTACACACATGGTGTACACCCACTGTCATATTAGTGTCACCTCTTCCTAGGATATTATCACTAACATCACAGTGTACACACATGGTGTACACCCACTGTCATATTAGGAGTGTCACCTCTTCCTAGGATATTATCACTAACATCACAGTGTACACACATGGTGTACACCCACTGTCATATTAGTGTCACCTCTTCCTAGGATATTATCACTAACATCACAGTGTACACACATGGTGTACAGCCACTGTCAGGAGTGTCACCTCTTCCTAGGATATTATCACTAACATCACAGAGTGTACACACATGGTGTACACCCACTGTCATAGGAGTGTCACCTCTTCCTAGGATATCACTAACATCACAGAGTGTACATACATGGTGTACAGCCACTGTCATATGAGTGTCACCTCTTCCTAGGATATTATCACTAACATCACAGAGTGTACACACATGGTGTACAGCCACTGTCATATTAGGAGTGTCACCTCTTCCTAGGATATTATCACTAACATCACAGAGTGTACACACATGGTGTACACCCACTGTCATATTAGGAGTGTCACCTCTTCCTAGGATATTATCACTAACATCACAGTGTACACACATGGTGTACACCCACTGTCATATTAGGAGTGTCACCTCTTCCTAGGATATTATCACTAACATCACAGTGTACACACATGGTGTACACCCACTGTCATATTAGGAGTGTCACCTCTTCCTAGGATATTATCACTAACATCACAGTGTACCACATGGTGTACACCCACTGTCATATTAGGAGTGTCACCTCTTCCTAGGATATTATCACTAACATCACAGTGTACACACATGGTGTACACCACTGTCATATTAGGAGTGTCACCTCTTCCTAGGATATTATCACTAACATCACAGTGTACACACATGGTGTACACCCACTGTCATATTAGGAGTGTCACCTCTTCCTAGGATATTATCACTAACATCACAGTGTACACACATGGTGTACAGCCACTATCATATTAGGAGTGTCACCTCTTCCTAGGATATTATCACATCACAGAGTGTACACACATGGTGTACACCCACTGTCATATTAGGAGTGTCACCTCTTCCTAGGATATTATCACTAACATCACAGTGTACATAGATGGTGTACAGCCACTGTCATATTAGGAGTGTCACCTCTTCCTAGGATATTATCACTAACATCACAGAGTGTATACACATGGTGTACAGCCACTGTCATATTAGGAGTGTCACCTCTTCCTAGGATATTATCACTAACATCACAGTGTACACACATGGTGTACACCCACTGTCATATTAGGAGTGTCACCTCTTCCTAGGATATTATCACTAACATCACAGAGTGTATACACATGGTGTACAGCCACTGTCATATTAGGAGTGTCACCTCTTCCTAGGATATTATCACTAACATCACAGTGTACACACATGGTGTACACCCACTGTCATATTAGGAGTGTCACCTCTTCCTAGGATATTATCACTAACATCACAGTGTACACACATGGTGTACAGCCACTGTCATATTAGGAGTGTCACCTCTTCCTAGGATATTATCACTAACATCACAGAGTGTATACACATGGTGTACAGCCACTGTCATATTAGGAGTGTCACCTCTTCCTAGGATATCACTAACATCACAGTGTACATACATGGTGTACAGCCACTGTCATATTAGGAGTGTCACCTCTTCCTAGGATATCACGAACATCACAGTGTACATACATGGTGTACAGCCACTGTCATAGGAGTGTCACCTCTTCCTAGGATATTATCACTAACATCACAGAGTGTACACACATGGTGTACACCCACTGTCATAGGAGTGTCACCTCTTCCTAGGATATTATCACTAACATCACAGAGTGTATACACATGGTGTACAGCCACTGTCATATTAGGAGTGTCACCTCTTCCTAGGATATTATCACTAACATCACAGTGTACACACATGGTGTACACCCACTGTCATATTAGGAGTGTCACCTCTTCCTAGGATATTATCACTAACATCACAGAGTGTATACACATGGTGTACAGCCACTGTCATATTAGGAGTGTCACCTCTTCCTAGGATATTATCACTAACATCACAGTGTACACACATGGTGTACAGCCACTGTCATATTAGGAGTGTCACCTCTTCCTAGGATATTATCACTAACATCACAGTGTACACACATGGTGTACAGCCACTGTCATATTAGGAGTGTCACCTCTTCCTAGGATATCACATCACAGAGTGTACACACATGGTGTACACCCACTGTCATATTAGGAGTGTCACCTCTTCCTAGGATATCACTAACATCACAGTGTACACACATGGTGTACAGCCACTGTCATATTAGGAGTGTCACCTCTTCCTAGGATATTATCACATCACAGAGTGTACACACATGGTGTACACCCACTGTCATATTAGGAGTGTCACCTCTTCCTAGGATATTATCACTAACATCACAGAGTGTACATACATGGTGTACACCCACTGTCATATTAGGAGTGTCACCTCTTCCTAGGATATTATCACTAACATCACAGAGTGTACACACATGGTGTACAGCCACTGTCATATTAGGAGTGTCACCTCTTCCTAGGATATTATCACTAACATCACAGTGTACACACATGGTGTACACCCACTGTCAGGAGTGTCACCTCTTCCTAGGATATCACTAACATCACAGAGTGTACATACATGGTGTACAGCCACTGACATATTAGGAGTGTCACCTCTTCCTAGGATATCACTAACATCACAGTGTACATAGATGGTGTACAGCCACTGTCATAGGAGTGTCACCTCTTCCTAGGATATTATCACTAACATCACAGAGTGTATACACATGGTGTACAGCCACTGTCATATTAGGAGTGTCACCTCTTCCTAGGATATCACTAACATCACAGTGTACACACATGGTGTACAGCCACTGTCATATTAGGAGTGTCACCTCTTCCTAGGATATTATCACATCACAGAGTGTACACACATGGTGTACAGCCACTGTCATATTAGGAGTGTCACCTCTTCCTAGGATATCACTAACATCACAGAGTGTACACACATGGTGTACAGCCACTGTCATATTAGGAGTGTCACCTCTTCCTAGGATATTATCACTAACATCACAGTGTACACACATGGTGTACACCCACTGTCATATTAGGAGTGTCACCTCTTCCTAGGATATTATCACTAACATCACAGTGTACACACATGGTGTACACCCACTGTCATATTAGGAGTGTCACCTCTTCCTAGGATATTAACACTAACATCACAGTGTACACACATGGTGTACAGCCACTGTCATATTAGGAGTGTCACCTCTTCCTAGGATATTATCACTAACATCACAGTGTACACACATGGTGTACAGCCACTTTGATGTTTCAAGTAATATCTCTCCCTCAGATATTACGAATACTATCAGAGGGTATACCCAAATACCATACACATACTTTAATATTACGAATAATATCACAGAGTGTTCAAACACAGTCTTCACTGGCTATGGTGTTAGGAGTAATATCTCTTTAAAATATACACCCATATCAACCGGACTAAAATATTAGGAGTAATATCTTTTTAAAATGTAGACCCATATTAACCACCCGCTATACAGCGAGTATTATCACCCCAGCTGCCCCTGGATATTAGGGTGCCCACACCTGTGATTCATAGTATCTCTCCCACAGATATTACGAATAATATCATAGGGTGTACCCAAATACTGTACACACACTTTAGTATTATGAGTAATGTCATATGCTGAATATCACAAACAATATCATAAAGTGTTCAAACATACTCTATACTGTCTATGATTTTAGGCGTAATATCTCTTTAAAATATACACCTATATCAACCTGACTATGCTATTAGGAGTCATATCTCTTTAAAATATATGCCCATATAAACCCCCCAACGATAATATCAGGAGTAATATCTCTTTAAAATATACACCCATATCAGCCCGATGGTGATATAAGCAGTAATATCTCACTAAAATGTACACACACATCAACCCCCTGCCCTAGGGCGAGTAATATCCCCCGCCCCTGGATATTAAGGACCCTATGGCTGGGGGCTGCCACAGCCACTGCCCTAGGGAGAGGGATATCCCTCCGCCCCCCCCCCCCCAGATATTCTGGACAGTCTGGCAAGGGGGCTGTACCACCCAGGCCCCCCCAGCTGCTACGAACCCTCTGGCTAGGCAGTGCCCACAGCGGCTATTTAGACAATTTGGAGTAATATACTGGAAACCATATCATAGGGAGAAGATAATGTTACTGTGTTTCTTTTTTGATATTAGGCACAGTAACACCAGTTCTAGTTCCACCTCTGCGATATTGACAAAAATATCATCCTCGCTCCCCTTAACATTAGAATTGAAATCACGGGGGTTTCACCGCTTGTAATATTTAATTCAATATAATTGTTTCTTTCGTGGACCTTAGTTACTATATCAGAGTGTGGTGTACACCTCTTTTGCCATATTGAGAGTATTACCATATGAGCAGTAATATCATCCTCTCCTTCCCTGGATATTAGGAACAATATCACAGGGCGGGTGTACAGCCCCTGCCACATTGTGAATAGTATCATCTCTCATCCCCTAGATATGAGGAACAACATCACTGGGGGTTTGTGTGCTTCCTGAGATATTTGGAGTAATATCCTCTCCGTTTTTGGATATTAGAAACAATACTATAGTGGTGGTGTGCACTTCCTGCGATATTGAGAGTATAATCATTCTCTCTTCCCTGGATATTAGGAAATATATCACAAAGGCGTTGTACACTGCCTGTGATATTGGAACAATCACAGAGTGTACACTTGCTTTCACAATGAGAGTAATATCTACCTAGGATATGATGGATAATATCAGAAAATGTACACACATGGGTGTATACCCACTTTGATATTAGGAGTAATTTGTATCTAATATAATAAAAATATACCAGAATGTAGTCATAATGTGTACATTTATTGGGATATTACAATAAATGTATATGATATCTACAATATGTATATTGTGATGTACATATATGTACACAATACATATGTACAATAAATGTATATGTGTACAATATATACATTTATATGAACATGTGTACACAATATGTACATAATGAATACAACCTGCACATTTACTGTAATATCACCATGATATATATAATCACAATATATAATACATATCACAATAAATGTACATATTGTATACATTATGTACATATGTATTGTGTACACATTATGTACATATACATTTAATGTGATATTACAATATGTACATATAATACACTATGTACATAATGTACACATGTACGTAGATACTATATGTACGTGTACATATATATGTGCACATTGTGTACATATGTACTATATGTACATGTATATATGTGCATATTATGTACATATGTATAGTATGTACGCATGTACGTATATATGGGCACATTATGTACATATATGTATCTTGCCTATTGAATATAAATATTCTAATTACTCCATGAAAAGATTTTTTAAACCATCAAGGCAGCCTGTAAACTCTTTATAGTTGTGATCAGGTAAAATAATGCAGGTATACCACTAACAATACCTGGCACTAGAACACAAACACTAAATATATAATGTTACTTACTGCTGTTATTGTTATATGGTAACCATTTTGAATTGTTATCTTGTAATGTTCAAGTTCTTTTTTTTTTTTTTTCTTAAGGCGGAGTTTCACTCTTGTTACCCAGGCTGGAGTGCAATGGCGCAATCTCGGCTCACTGCAACCTCCGCCTCCTGGGTTCAGGCAATTCTCCTGCCTCAGCCTCCTGAGTAGCTGGGATTACGGGCACGCACCACCGTGCCCAGCTAATTTTTTGTATTTTTAGTAGAGACGGGGTTTCACCTTGTTGACCAGGATGGTCTCGATCTCTTGACCTCGTGATCCACCCGCCTCGGCCTCCCAAAGTGCTGGGATTACAGGCGTGAGCCACCGCGCCCGGCCATGTTCAAGTTCTTTTGGTTTCTATATATTCGTCACTAAATCTGTGTAATCTGACATCTTTCAAACTTCTGAACATAAGGCCATTAATATTTGAATTACAATGAAAGGTTTTTTTTTCCATCTGCAAGTGGATTATATAATCAGCACTCCATTGCCATCTGAGTGACCCTGAAAAATAGGAATATTTTCAAAGGAAAATTGCACTTTTCTTCCAAAACTACACACAGTATTTTGATGCCAATATTTCTTCAGATGAGTTTCTGCATGTTACTAGCCTACTGCTGCATAGTGGGGGTAAATGACAGGCATTCTCGGATGTCTATAAAACTCCCCTTCTAGGCCAGGCGTGGTGGCTCATGCCTGTAATACCAGCACTTTGGGAGACCAAGGCAGGCAGATCATGAGGTCAGGAGTTTGAGACCAGCCTGAGGTTTTACCATGGTAAAACCTCATCTTTACTAAAAATATACAAAAATTAGCTGAGAGTGGTGGCGTGCACCTGTAATCCCATCTACTCAGGAGGTTGAGGGAGGCGGAGGTTGCAGTGAGCCGATATTGCGCCGCTGCATTCCAGCCTGGGCGACAGAGTGAGACTACATCTCAAAAACAGCAACAACAACAAACAACAAACTCAGCGTCTCACCCCAGCATCGGCACACATACAGGCACACATGTGCACACACAGGCACACACACCCAGCATCTTTTATGTCAACAGTCATGACTGCATTCATTGGCCAGGAGAGAGATAAAATCAGGACCCTCTCTGGACTCAAGGCTGAGTCTGCTTTAGTCTAAAGTGATCATCAGAATGCCATTCCCCTTGCCAATTATCAAGAATGGGCGTGTTACAAAATTCTGGTCAATGAGGGTTGTACTGGGAGATTTTCTTCATTCTTAAACAAGGGGCACAAGGAAGGAATGTTTTTCTGCTTTCAGATATAATCTTCTCACATTGGAATTATGGCCAGTATACTGGAAACATGAGTGGAGCCAGCTGATGCTCTGAAGAGAATAGCAGAATGAAAAGATAAAAAGATGCTGGGCGAGGTGCCTCACGCTTCACAGGATTGTGCTTTTTGGAGACAGTCAGAAACAAACTTAATTTTGTTTGTATAAAATGTATGCAAAATGTCAACTTCTTTTGCCTTGTGGAACACTCTGGCAGTCTGATGAATCCTACAGACAGACCCCTTCTGAGGATTATGTGTTTAAATGCATAAAATAAATGGATGATTAAAAAAAAATTTTTTTTTTTTGAGACGGAGTCTTGCTCTGTAGAGCAGGCTGGAGTGCAATGGCATGATCTTGGCTCACTGCAAACTCTGCCTCCTGGGTTCAAGTGATTTTCCTGCCTCAGCCTCCTGAGTAGCTGGGACTACAGGTATGCACCACTCATCCCTGGCTAATGTTTGTATTTTTAGTAGAGTTGAGGTTTTGCCATGTTGCCCAGGCTGGTCTCGAATACTGACCTCAATTTACTGACATCAGGTCATTTTCCCACCTGGGCCTCCAAAAGTGCTATGAATACAGCTGGGAGCCACCACGTCTGGCCTAAAAAATTTGATAGAACTAACTACAGTAACAAAATGTTTTCAAAATTTATTATATAGAATATATGTGCATCTTTAATAATTCATGAAACACCAAGATCTAGTCAAGACACGGTGGCTCCAAACTCCAGCCCACGGTGGCTGGGTAATCCCAGCACTTTGGGAGGCAGAGGCGGGCGGATTACGAGGTCAGGAGATCAAGACTATCCTGGTTAACATGGTGAAACCCTGTGTCTACTAAAAAATACAAAAAATTAGATGGGCGTGGTGGCATGTGCCTGCTGTCCCAGCCACTTGGGAGGCTGAGGGAGAAGTATCGCTTGAACCCAGGAGGCAGAGGTTGTAGTGAGCCAAGATGGCACCACTGCACTACAGCCTGGGCAACAGAGTAAGACTGCATAAAAATAAAAAAGAAATACTGAGATCTAAAATCAAGTCTAATAGCTTATATAATTTCAAAAAACAATGAGCATAAACAATAGTTTGGGATTTCTGCAACAACTGTAATGTCATATAAAAATATCCATTATTTTTACTCCTGATAAAGCCATAGGTACCACTTTGACTACAACCACAATGGAAGAAAATGCTGGCTGGATGCAGTGGCTCATGACTGCAATCATGAGGTCAAGAGATCGAGACCATCCTGGCTAAAATGGTGAGACCCCCCATCTCTACTAAAAATACAAAAATTAGCTGGGCGTGGTGGCACACACCTGTAGTTCCAGCTATTCAGGAAGCTGAGGCAGGAGAATTGCTTGAACCTAGGAGGTGGAGGTTGCATTGAGCTGAGATCACTCCACTACACTCCAGGCTGGTGACAAAGGGAGACTCTGTCTCAAAAAAAAAAAAAAGAAAAAAGAAAAAGAAAATGCTAAATTTCAGTTTGAGGCTAATCAAAATAGAATTGTAAGTTATCTTTCCAAATCTCAGACTAAGAACCCAGATATAGGCCAGGCTTGGTGGCTCACACCTGTAATCCCAGCACTTTGGGAGGCTGAGGCAGGCAGATCACTTGAGGTCAGAAGTTCAAGACCAGACTGGCCAACATGGTGAAACCCCATCTTTACTAAAAACACAAAAATTAACTGGCTGTGGTGGTGGACACCTGCAATCCCAGCTACTTGGGAGGCTGAAGCATGAGAATCACTTGAACCTGGGAGGCAGAGGTTGCAGCGAGCCAAGATAGCTACACATTCCAATGTGGGCAGCAGAGCGAGGCTCCATTTCAAAAAAAAAAAAAATAGACTGCACCATCCATATGCATTTTTAAATTATAAGTCTTTCACAAACTAAATTTTAAATAACTGCTTAATCATTACTTCTACCCTTCACCACCAATTGTAAGAAATTTAGTTACCTTCCTGAGTTCTTGTTAAAATCATGCTGAGAAAGTATTTTTGTCAGTCTGCATGATGGGTTTCCTGAAGCAGAGAGCCAGATTCCTAACTCTCTTGCTCTTTCCTCATGGGTAATGAAGACCATCTTCCGCCAAGCCTTCAACACCTACAAGATGGACACGGACCGCAAGCAAGGGACACCGCAGTACCTGTGTGCAGTGCAGCCCAGCAGAAGGCTCTCTGAGATCTGGCTCTCCCACAGACTGGCCACTGCCACCTATATCCAGGGCAAAGGCAAGGTGCTTGTTATGTATACAATTTTTTCTTTCGGTGCTGCAAAGAAGAATTCGTAATGGGACAAAGGATTTCCCAGCACAGCGATTCTTTTTACTTCCTGCAGAAAGGGCACTCCCACTAGCAATCTTGCCCCGAGAGTACAACGAACTAACAAGAGCAGACATATTTATTTCTCGCGCATTTGGGGTTGTCCTTACTGTTGTGTCTGATCTCTGCGGGCTGGAGCCAGACCTCACAATGGAAACTAAAATCTGATTGGCTAATAACTTGAAACTTTTCTAAACAGGTCAAAGCCATGGAGAGCAAAAAAAAATAAAAAGGAAGTCCAAATAAGAAAGCGGCATAGGCTGTGAGCTGGGACATGCCTATGAGCACATCTTGCACAGATATGTTGATTAAAGTGCAAAGACATAGAATGTACTACGTGCCTGTAAGCATGTCTAACAGCTACGTAGTATAGGGCTTTTAGCAAAAAGGCAAGAAGGCGTTTGAAGAAAATGTTTAAAACAAACTATTATTTCTAACACATGAATTTTTCTTAACCAAGAAAGGAAACATTGAAGAGGAACTTTTCTACTTCCCACAACAGTGATTGTAGAGAGGGAAGTAACCCAAGTCCTCAGCTTCAACACAGGTGAGCCACTATGCAGGTCAGCGTCCAAATAGCTATCTAGAATGCACACCTGGTGGTCTAGAAGAGCTCCTGAATAGTTGACTGGGAGTGGGTTGGGGAAATGACAGGAGCAGACACACGTGTTAGACAAGCAGGTTCAAGGGACTGTCTGTCTTCCTGGGTAGATTATAAATTCTTCTAGGGCAGAGTTTTCAGAGGCAGTAAGACGTAATGGTGTCTGCCACTTGCTGCTCCTTAATTCTAAACCTCTCTCTGCCTGTGTTTCCTCATCTGTATGATGGGGATATTAATAGCATATTCATGGCCGGGCACAGTGGCCCATGACTGTAATCCCAGCACTTTGGGAGGCTGAGGTGGGCTGGTGGGCTGATCACAGGGTTAAGGGATTGAGACCAGGCCGGGAGCGGTGGCTCAAGCCTGTAATCCCAGCACTTTGGGAGGCCGAAATGGGTGGATCACGAGGTCAAGAGATCGAGACCATCCTAGTCAACATGGTGAAACCCCGTCTCTACTAAAAATACAAAAAATTAGCTGGGCATGGTGGCGTGTGCCTGTAATCCCAGCTACTCGGGAGGCTGAGGTAGGAGAATTGCCTGAACCCAGGAGGCGGAGGTTGCGGTGAGCCAAGATCACGCCATTGCACTCCAGCCTGGGTAACAAGAGCGAAACTCCATCTCAAAAAAAAGAGAGATTGAGACCATCCTGGTCAACATGGTGAAACCTTGTCTCTACTAAAAATACAAAAATTAGCTGGGCATCATGGTGCATACCTATAGTCCCAGCTACTTGGGAGGCTGAGGCAGAAGAATTGGTTGAACCCGGGAGGGGAGGTTGCAGTGAGCCGAGATCACACCACTGCACTGCAGCCTAGGGGACAGAGTGAGGCTCCATCGCAAAAAAAAAAAAAAAAAAAAAAAATATATATATATATATATATTCCTCATAGGATCATTGTGAGATTCAATAAGTTAATACACCGAAAGTGCTTATTACTGAATGAGCACATAGTAAGAGCTGAATAATACTGGCTATTATTCTTCTCTTTAACTCTGTAGACGTTTTTCTATACGGCCAGAACATGAGCGAAATAATTTCCTAATCATCTTATCGAGTTATTTATTTTTCTACTTCCAGACAGGCTAATACTTACTTTTACATTTTTATTTATTCTTTACTTTTTTGCAGAGCCTGGGGTCTTACTATGTTGCCCAGGCTGGTCTTGAACTCCTGGGCTCAGATGATCCACCTCTCAAGGTGCTGCCATTACAGGTGTGAGCCACTGCATTCCGCATGGTTACTTTTTTTAATTGACAAATAAAAGTTGTGTCTATATTATATACAACATGTTTTGATATGTGTATACATTGTGGAAGGGTGAAATCAAGCTAATTAACATATGCATTACTTCACATACTATTCATTTATTTGTTTATTTGAGACAGAGTTTCGCTCTTGTTGCCCAGCTGGAGTACAGCGGCACGATCCGGGCTCACTGCAACCTCCACCTCCTAGGTTCAAGTGATTCTCCTGCCTCAGCCTCCCAAGTAGCTCGGACTACAGGCTCCCACCACCACGCCCAGCTAATTTTTTATTTTAAGTAGAGATGGGGTTTCAGTATGTTGGCCAGGATGGTCTCAAACTCCAGACCTCGTGATCCACCCATCTTACCTTCCTAAGTGCTGGGATTACAGGCGTGAGCCACCGCACTTGGCCTAACATACTTATTATTTTGTAGCAAGAATACTTTAAATGTATTCTCTGCAGTTTTCAAGAATAGTATACATTGTTATTAATTATAGTCACCACGCTGTATAATAGATCTCTTGGAACTTCTTGTATCTAACTCAAATTTTTGTATCATTTTCAATTGATGCAGAAAACTGCAGAAAGTTTATCATTAACTGTCGTTAGCACCGAAGCTGATTCAGCCAGGTGCTGTGGAGTGGCTATGACAATGACTGTTGAGGCAGACATCCAAAGCCAGGTTCAAAGCCAGGTTTCATCACCAATAATCTGTGTTAAATTAGCAAAGTTACCTAACCTTTCCCTACTTTCAATTCCTCATTGGTAAAATAGGGAAAATAATAGCATTGACCTGGCCAGGTGCAGTGGCTCACGCCTGTAATTCCAGCACTTTGGGAGGCTGAGGCAGTTAGGTTACCAGGCCAAGAGTTTGAGACCAGCCTGAGCAACATGGTGAAACCCCACCTCTACAAAAAATACAAAAAAAAAAAAGGAAGAAAGAAAGAAAAAAAAGCCAGGCATGGTGGTGCACGCCTGTAATCCCAGCTACTCAGGAGGCTGAGGCAGGAGAATTGCTTGAACCCAGAAGTGCGGAGGTTGCAATGAGCCGAGATCATGCCACTGATCCAGCCTGGTCGACAGAGCGAGACTCAGTCTCAAATAATAATAATAATAGCCTTGACCTCACAGAGTTTCTGTGATAATCAACTAATTAAATCATCTGCATGGTTTAGCACAGTGCGTGCAGGTAACTCTAAGTGTTCTTGGTTATTTTACGTTTACTATGTAGCAGTCTCTGTTCTAAGCATTTTGCAAGCATTATCTCTTGTAATCTTTACCACACACTCAAGAGGTGGCCATTAGGAAGAGGCAGTCATTAACATTACCCCCACTTTCCCGACGGGGAAATGGAGATATGAAGAAGTTACTCAGCTAAAGGCAGGCCTGGACTTGCACACAGGTGTTAAGTATCCACTTATACTGTCTCCGGCTGGATTGTAGAGCTATTTTTTAGCAATTATTAGAGATGTAGAGAGCATCAGGGAGTAAGAAAAGGGCAAAAATACAAAGATTAGGAGAAAAAAGTAAGGACATAAATTTATCCTCAGGTTTGCGGCTGAAGAAAAGGATGTTGGAGGTTTAAGATTCTTACCCAAGCATCCACGGTAAGTAGGTATGCACCTCACTTTAAACACACTTCTCTGCCAGGCGCGGCTGCTCACACCTGTAATACCAGCACTTTGGGAGGCCACGGTGGGTGGATCAGGTCAGGAGAGCGAGACCATTCTGGCCGACATAGTAAAATCCCGCCTCTACTAAAATACAAAAAAGCTAGCCGGGTGTGGGGGCACGCGCGGGTAGTCCCAGGTACGTGGCAGGCTGAGGCAGGAGAACTGCTTGAACCTGGGAGGCAGAGGTTGCAATGAGCCGAGATGAGCCTGGAAACAACGCGAGACTTCGTCTCATAAACAAAAAAGAAAAACAAAGGAGATGTGGGCGCCGGCTTGCAGTGCGGTGCGGGTTGGCCATGGCGGAGCTGCAGCAGCTGCGGGTGCAGGAGGCTGTGGACTCCATGGTGAAGAGTCTGGAGAAAGAGAACATCCGGAAGATGCAGGGTCTCATGTTCCGGTGCAGCGCCAGCTGTTGTGAGGACAGCCAGGCCTCCATGAAGCAGGTGCATCAGTGCATCGAGCACTGCCATGCGCCTCTGCTCAAGCCCAGGCTTTAGTCACCAATGAGTTGGAGAAGTTCCAGGACAGCCTGGGTCGGTGCACCATGCATTGCAATGACAAAGCCAAAGATTCAACCGATACTAGGAGTAAGGAGCCTCAGGTGAAGCGGCAGCTGGACGGTTGTGTGACCAAGTGTGTGGATGACCACATGCACCTTATCCCAACTATGACCAAGAAGATGAAGGAGGCTCTCTTATCCATGGGGAAATGAAAGTTTGCCAATGCCTACTGGGGCTGAGGGCAAGGATGTTTTTTATAAGGAATTGGGAATTTTAGTCTTTTAAGCAAAGTTTATGAATGAAGAAATTAAGGACGGCCGCAAGTGTAAGGCATATGTCACTTGCCTCTGGACACTGCTTCTTTTATGTTTCAGTCCTAAAAAATGAAATGGAAAAAAAAGTGGTGCTAAATTGGGTCAGAGACATTACAGGAGAATTTTGGAGCTTGTATTTCCTGTAGCCAGTGCCTGTCTTGGCAGTAAGGATCTCCCCTGTAACAAGCCAGAGCCCTCCAAGGTACCAGACTATTCTTACTACACAGGTACCAACGGCCTGGCAGGTTAGAGTTGGTGGAGTTTGAGGAGAGATATTTTCTCTTTGTTGCTAATATCCTGTTTACCGGAAATGTCACCACACCATTTTCCATAAGCTGTGAAACAAAATCCATGAGGTCACTAACTTAGAAGGGAAAAAGTTTTCTGAGTTTTTGTGCTCTTGGTTTTGTGTAATTTATACAAGGGCATTCAAGTTGATTTTAAGATGCGGAATTGGGAGGGAGACGAGTTTGGATAAGAACTTTGAAACGTTCCTTGTGGACCCCCATTTCTGGTCATCAAGATGTGGATGTACATTTCTTAAAATTATTACATGCTACATCTTTCAGCCTGGAGACCCTGCGAAAACACGAGAGGTGATGACACATTAATTATGAGAAGCATAATTACTGTCTGACGGGCCCTGAGACTGTGTAGCAAAATGACAATGACAGGACAATTTTTTTTTTTTGAGACTGAGTTTTGCTCTTGTTGCCCAGGCTGGAGTGCGATGGCATGATCTTGGCTCACCGCAAACTGCCTCCCAGATTCAAGCAAATCTCCTGCCTCAGCCTCCCGAGTAGCTAGGATTACAGGCGTGCACCATCATGCCTGGCTAATTTTGTATTTTTAGTAGAGATGGGGTTTCTCCATGTTGGTCAAGCTGATCTCAAACTCCTAACGTCAGGTGATCCACCTGCATTGGCCTCCCAAAGTGCTGGGATTACAGGCGTGAGCCACTGCCCCCAGCATGACAGGACAATCTTGCAGTAACACTTTCCCCTTGAAGAGAAAGGGATTTTGATTGTGATATATACTAGTATCTAGGAATCGTAGAGGAATGAAAGAGGACCAGTTGGCTACTTGATTATAACAGAGTTATAAAGTACTGGATTTGGAAAAGGCTGGTTTTTACAGAACAGATGGAACAAAAGCCTAAACCTAGCATTGCCTACTTAGCCCCCTGAGCTAACAGGGCCCAATTGAGACAAACCGCTGGCAACAGGAAATTCGAGGGAGAAAAAGTAACCAACTTGAGCTAGGACGAGCTGACTCCCTTAGAGCCAAAGAGAGGCAGCCCCCATTACCATATACCGCTTCTGCCTCGGGCTTTTGCAGCTTGCAGTGTTCCTGCCCAGGCCTGACACCTTGTTGTTTTGATAGCAACCTCACTGTATTGTCACCAGCTTATTACTTGAAATGATAATATAGCCTGTCCACTTGCTGTTTCCAGGCTGTGATATATTTTCCTAGTGGTTTGATTTTTTTTTTTTTTTTGAGACTGAGTTTCACTCGTTACCCAGGCTGGAGTGCAATGGCGTGATCTCGGCTCACGGCAACCTCCGCCTCCTGGGTTCAGGCAATTCTCCTGCCTCAGCCTCCCGAGCTGGGATTACAGGCACGCACCACCATGCCCAGCTAATTTTTTTTTTTTTTATTTTTAGTAGAGACAGGGTTTCACCATGTTGACCAGGATGGTCTTGATCTCTTGACCTCGCGATCCACCCACCTCGGCCTCCCAAGTGCTGGGATTACAGGCATGAGCCACCGTGCCTGGCAGGTTTGATTTTTAAAATAAATAAGGTTTAATTTTCTCCCCTGCCCAAAGAAAAGAACAAAAGACACTTCCCTTAGCAGAGCAGTAGACCTACTACCTCTCTGACCTTTATTGTAAGAATTCAATCAAGCTTCCAAGTTCCTAGCCCATGAGGAAATGAGAGGGCAGCAGAATGACTTTTTGCATACAATTCAATTTCTGCCTGGTCAACAAAACATAATTTGTTGTCTAGAGGAGCTAAATCAGGCTGTTTAAATCCCTAGTCAGTAAAAAGTATTCTCTTGATTTATGAAAAAAAATCAGTAAATGTATGTTGATTTAGATTTGTGCAGCTACAAACAATACATATGCCATGAGTCTTTATCTTCCTTTCAAATTTCATGTTAGCGTGACTTGTAGAAATGAGTGCCCGATGACACATTTGAAATAATAGCAATGGTATTAACAATAATAAAAGTACCATCATAATTACTGTCACTTATTAAGTGCCTGCCCTGAGCTAGGCATTGTCCTATAAACTTTCTGTTCATTATAATGTTTAATTTTCTCAACAATCTTATGAGAGCAGACTTTTGATTAAAGATAGTACTCTGGCCTGGCGCAGTGACTCATGCCTGTAATCCCAGCACTTAGGTAGGTTGAGGCGGATGGAGCACAAGGTCAAGAGTTTGAGACCAGCCTGGCCAATATGGTGAAATCCCATCTCTACTAAAAAGACAAAAATTAGCCAGGTGTGAAGGCACATGCCTTTAGCCCCAGCTACTCAGGAGGCTGAGGCAGGAGAACCACTTGAACCTGGGAGGCAGAGATTGCAGTGAACTGAGATCACAATATTGCACTCCAGCCTGGATGGCAGAGTGAGACTGTGTCTCAAATAAAAAAAAAAAAAAAAAGATAGAACTCTGAACACAGAGATTTCTTGCCACTTTCTCCTGAAGGCCCATTAAAATGGCAAACAGCAATACTTTCCATTTTGTTTCAGTAAATAAATGCATAAGGATTAAGAGAGCCGTAGAGACAATTGTAGCCAGAACATTTTGGAATCTGAAAATCAAAAGGAGTCTGTGTGGTATGACTTTTTGGCCTTTCAAGTAGCAGAAAGCCCAATTTTACAGCGAGTTAAACACATGGTGTTTATTTTTCTCATGTAAGAAAGCTCTTTGCAGCTTTCTTATCATTGCTGGTGTATGACTCTCATCTCAAGGGCCAGTAAAGCAGCTTGAGTTTTCTACATCATGTCCATTTTCCAGCTGGCGGTAAAGAGGAAAGGTAGGGTGAGACAGGTATGCACCTCAATTTAATACTTCTCACCGGGCACAGTGGCTCATGCCGGTAATTCCAGCACTTTGGGAGGCCCAGGTGGGCAGATTACCTGAGGTCAGGAGTTCGAGACAAGCCTGACCAACATGGAGAAACCCTGTCTTTACTAAAAATACAAAATTAGCTGGGCATGGTGGCACATGTCTGTAATCCCAGCTATTCGGGAGGGTGAGGCAGGAAGAATCACTTGAACCTGGGAGGTGGAGGTTGCAGTGAGCCAAGATTGCACCACTGCCCTCCAGCCTGGGCAACAGGAGCGAAACTGTTTCAAAAAAAATAAGACACTTCTCTTAGCCGGGCATGGTGGCTCACGTCTGTAGTCCTAAGGCAAGAGGTGGCACTCAACTCTGGAGGTAAGTCTCAGACATTGGACCAAACTGAGGACTAGCTAAATCAGGGAGGGAGTGGAAGCAGCTTTCCATAAGACACACCCATCCATGTGTCCTGTCAGTTTACCATTGCCATGGCAACACCTATGAGTTTCCCTTTCCGTGGCAGCAACCCAATGACCTAGAAGTTACTACCCTTTCCCTAGAAATGTCTGCATAAACTATTTCTTCATCTGCCTGCAATTAAAACTAGGTAAAAACGTGAATGCAGATCTGCCCTGAGTTGCTGCTTTCTGCCTATGGCATAGCCCTGCTCTGCAGGGGCAGTCACAGAGCTGTCACATTGCCGAAGCCAGAACATTGCTGCTTCAGTGAAACGGTTTCCTTCTACCCTACCACCAGCTTGCTCTTAAATTATTTCCTGGGTGAAGCCAAGAACCCAGTTTGGGGCTCACCTATCCTGTATCAGTCCCAGCTACTTGAGAGACTGAGGCAGAAAGATCACTTGAAGCCAGGAGTTCGAGGCTGTAGTGAGCTGACTACACCACTGCACTCCAGCCTGGCTGACAAAGGGAGACCCTGTCTCAGGAAAAGTAGACAGTTCTCTTCTGGGTTTTTATAATCAGATACCTTTTATTCAAGATATTAATCTCTATGAGGGGTAGATGTTATCCAGGTTTAGTATAAATAGATAGCACTCTGAACACATACACTTATAGCGACTTTCCCCTGAAAGCCCACTAAAATGGCAAAAAGTGATACTTTTCATTTTGTTTTGGTAAATAAATGCCATTTTTATGACTAATTTAGAGTCTAATTAATTTGCCTTTATTAAACAAATGCTGTATTAGAAAAGTTCTTAGCACACCTAGCACTGTGCCAGCACTTACTAGGATGCTAGCTCCAGGATTAGCTGTGGGAATAACTATAACCATGTAATTTCATCTCGTTTATTCTTGATGTGCCCATCAGCATAATGGAGCCCAGAGAGCCTCTCTAAATGGTGGCTGGGATAGGCAATGACATGACGCAGATAAGCCCAGGCAGCAAGTGTTCTCCCCAAATGTTAATCTCTTTTCCTCTCTTCATCCCTTTGGGAGCCTCTAAGAGCATCTATGGCACACTAGCAAAGGGCAGTAAGGATCCTTTGTTTGGAAACAGATTTTTACAACTTACAAGTTCACAAGCATAGTCTCTTTCGGAGCCTGTGGTGTACTGTCATGAAGAGTCAAAGGAAGTAGATTCTGCGGCAGTACCGCCACTTTGGTGATTCAGATGCAAGGTTTACCTTTTAGCCTCAACTGTAAAGTAGGGATAATAATTTTAGTTACCTCATAGGGTGACTGGTAGATTGATATAATTTCTAGCAAGTGCTTAGAGCATAGTAAGTGTTCAATAAATGTTAGCTTTTATCATTTACTGGGACTATTAGCCCATTAGATGACAAAATGAAGATTCAGAGACCCCACAATGACTATACTAATAATTAATAATGGCAATATTCATCGATTGAAGCCTTATGATGTGTCCAGAAAGCAGCCCTTGTTGAGAAATGGGAGGCGAACAGTGGCTGCCAATTCTTTGATGTTTAATAAACTTTCATTAATGTCTACAGTGAACAAAGGTCTGTGCTGACCTTCATGCTTGATTCTAAGGATTCCAGGATGACTGTAGTTGGGCACAGTCCTTCATCTGATGGCTTTTGCAATAAGGGAAGAAAAAGAGGCGTGTCTTGACAATTGCACTACTCTGTGCTGAATGCTATGCTAGTGGAAAGCATGTGATCTACCTATGTAAACACAAACAAAAAAGATGTGTTAGTTATTGCAATTAGTAATTCCTGTGTGACACCTGACCCCCAAACTTAGAATAGCAATGAATGTTGATTGTCTCACACAGTTTCTGAAGGGTCGGAATTCAGCGTGGCTCAGTAGGATGGTCTGGCTCAGTCTCTAATGAAGTTATCAGTCATGACTGCAGGCACCTGAAGGTCTGATCAGGGCTGGAGGATCTAAGACAGCTCTCTCCTCGCTAGTAAGGTGATGCAGCCACTGGCAGGAGACCTCAGTTCCTCGTCCTGTGGACCTCTTGCTCGAGTGTCCTCCTGACATGGTAGCTGGTTTTCCTCACAGCACATGACCCAAAAGAGAACAAGGCAGAAGCCACATGTCTTTTGTAAGGTAGGCATGCAAGTCACATGCTGTCATTACACAGGTTGGCTGTATTTTTGGTGGGAGCGGCTATATAAGAGGGAAAATATCAGGTGGCAGGAATCACTGGGGCCACCTTGGAGGCTGGCTACCACAGAGGTCAACTGACTCTATCTGGTGGTTCAAGAAAGACTTTCTAGAAGAGGTCATGCCTGAAAGAGCTAAGTTAGGAAAAATTTATAACCTGGGCTCCATGGACAGAACTCAGGGGTCTGTGAAGTTGAGTCAGGGAGGTAGGATTGCATCTTCATTTTCCCACACCTATACTGAAATTTAACATTCTTTCAATTATGAGTATAAGAAACCCATGCCAGTGTCCTTAGTAATACCTGTGACTTTGTCACCAGCAGAAACTACCAATGTTTTGTTTGCATGTGTGGTCAGCACGGTAAGACCCTGTGTTTACAAACAAAAATTTAAAACTACTGTTATTGTAGATGTCTTGAAATATTGCTTGCATTAATCAAAATCATGAGACTGAGTGCAGTGGCTCATGCCTGTAATCCCAGCACTTTGGGAGGCCAAGGGAGAAGGATCATTTGAGACCAAGAGTTTGAGACCAACCTGGGCAACATAGTAAGACTCTCATTTCTATGAAAAATAAAAATTAGCCAGGCATGGTGGTGCATGCCTGTAGTCCCAGCTGCTCGGGAGGCTGAGGCAGGAGTATCACTTGAACCCAAAAGTTTGAGGCTGCACTGAGCTGTGATTGTACCACTGCACTCCAACCTAGGTGACACAGAAAGACCCTATAACTAAAAGGAAAAAAATTATAGTGATTGCTAGACTCATTGTTCTCACTCATAAGTGGGAGCTGAACAATGAGAACACATGGACACAGGGAGGGAAACAACACACCGGGGCCTGTCAGTGGGTGGGGGGAAAGGGAAGGAGAGCATTAGGACAAATACCTGATGCATGCAGAGCTTAAAACCCAGATGACAGCTTGATAGGTGCAGCAAACCACCATGGCACATGTATACCTGAGCAACAAACCTGCACATTCTGCACATGTATCCCAGGACTTAAAATAAGAAAAAAATTATAGTGATTGTTAGACCTCGCACCAGATCTTGATATATAATGCATAATTAATTAATTACAGGTATTTTTATATAATTTTGTTTTAAATATTTTAATAATTATATTTCAACATATTTGCCTTTGTAACTCTGTATTTTATGTTAGGCAATTAAGGTTCTTCTAAGAAATAAACCAAAAATGTTACTAGACTGCCAAATAGATCTATAACACACATATATACAAAATAGTATGTACAGAAGGTTGAGTAGGAATTTTCCATTAAAAGGAAAAAAGAAGGCCAGGTGCCCTGGCTCACGTTTGTAGTCCCAGCACTTTTTGGAGCCGAGGCAGACGGATTGCTGGAGGTTGGGAGTTCGAAACCAGCCTGACCAACATGGAGAAACCCCATCTCAACTAAAAATACAAAATTAGCCGGACATGATAGCACATGCCTGCAATCCCAGCTACTCGGGAGGCTGAGGCAGGGGAATCACTTGAACCCAGGAGACAGAGATTTCCGTGAGCTGAGATCGTGCCATTGCACTCCATCCTGGACAACAAGAGCAAAACTCTGTCACACACACAAAGAAAAAAAGGAAAGAAGAAAGGGCATTACAGGCAGAGGCAGGAAGTAGGCACCTGTGTCTGTATACTTGTATATTACTAAAAGCTGGAAGTCCAAAAAGGGGAAGGAGGTAAATGGAGCTTTAAACACAAAAGGGACCAGGTCACAAAAGATGAGGCCAAAGAACCTGAACCCAATACCATTATGATAGTGAAGGCTGGGATAGGAGAGCCAAAAAAGTTTGATTTATGTATTTATTTAATGATTACTTATTTTAGAATACATAATTCATATACAAATACAAGATTAAAGTGTGTACAGCAGAAGGCTTCCTTTCATTACTTGCTGCAGCTACTCTGGGTTGCTCTGCAATCCAGAAGCCACCACAGGTTCGTCTTAGATTCTCAGGAAAACACTTTTATGTAAGGGAATAGCTGTTTAGATTTACTTTTTAAGTAGCTTACTCTGATTAAGTTGCCAATTGAGACAAAGCTTTATGGAGAAGCTGCTGGTTAGCATGAGAAGCACAGCTAGGAATTTGAGGGAGAGAATGTTATTCTTTACTCTTTTTTTTTTTTTTTTTTTGAGATGAAGTCTTGCACCCAGGCTGGAGTGCAGTGGCATGATCTCAGCTCACTGCAACCTCTGCCACTCAGATTCAAGCGATTCTCCTGCCTCAGCCTCCCAAGTAGCTGGAACTACAGGCGTGTGCCACCATGCCCGGCTACTTTTTTTATTTTTAGTAGAGACAGGGTTTCACCGTGTTAGTCAGGATGGTCTCGAACTCCTGACCTTGTGATCCACCTGCCTCGACCTCCCAAAGTGCTGGGATTATAGGTGTGAGCCACCATGCCAACCAACTTTTTAAAGGAATTAACTACAAAGCTTCTTGAAGATTCCATACATGCAAAGAAAACACAATTTATTTGTTTAATAAGTTCAGATTTCTTTTACAAAAAATGGGAAGCAGTACAGCAAGGTGATTGAAAACACTGCACACAGGCTGGGCATGGTGATTTACCCCTGTAATCCTAACATTTTGGGAGGCTGAGGCAGGAGGATTACTTGAAGCCAGGAGTTCAAGACCAGCCTGGGCACCAAGGTAAGACTCTGTCTCTACAAAAAATTTAAAAATTAGCCAGGTGTGGTGGTGTACTCCAGTAGTCCCAGCTACTCAGGAGAGTGAGGCAGGAGGATTGCCTGAGCCCAGGAGTTTGGGGCTGGAGTGAGGCATGTTTGTGTCACTGCACTCCAGCCTGGGCAACAGTGTGAGACCCTGTCTCCAAAAAAACCAACCAAACAAACAAAACGAAAGAACAACAACAACAACAAAATGCAGACTTGCAGGCTTTAGAATTGAGAGAATTTGGATTGAGTCTCTGCTTTACCATTTGCTGAGTCTTTACTATTTGCTAAACTAAGCCTCAGTCATCTCTTCTTTAAAGCGAAGCTTTTAATATCTACGTCTGTGTACTCCTGATGATGGTGTAGGTGATAATGCCTGGAAAATGCTCCATACAGTTACGCGTGTGCTTTAAAGTCAGATATAACATCACAATGGTGCCTCATATTTGAATTTTAAGGTTCTTCCAGTCCAGCTCTAATCAGCAGTATCAATGATGAGAGCTAACGTATTGAGTGCTTACTCTGTGCCTGGTGCTGTGCTGGGTGCTCTGTAGTTATCACTTCCTTTCTTTTTTTCCTCCCCTCACCACCTTTCTGGTACCTTTGCATGTATATGTCTGTCAAGATCTGGGGTGAATTTGGGCTCCAAGCCCTGGAGTCTTTGGAAGAACTTACTTGCAAGATTATAACAGCAGTGGATCCGAGTGGTATCTTCAAAATGTTGGCAGCCAAAGAAAGACACTCTAAACACTCTGAACAGGTGATGAAAGACTTTAAAGTCTTTCACACTTGTAATCCCATCACTTCGGGAGGCTGAGGCAGGTGGATCACTTGAGGTCAGGAGTTCGAGACCAGCCTGGCCACCATGGTGAAAGCCTGTCTCTACTAAAAATATAAAAATATTATCCAGGAATGGTGGTAGGTGCCTGTAATCCCATCTGCATGGAAGGGGGAGGCTGAGGCAGGAGAATCACTTGAACCTGGGAGGTGAAGTTTGCTGGGAGCTCAGACTGTGCCACTGCATTCCAGCCTGGGCAACAGAGCAAGACTCCATCCCAATAAAGCAAAACAAAACAAAAACATTAAACAGAATGGCTGAGGTAGGAGGACTGCTTGAGCCTGGGAAGCTGAGGCTGCAGTGAGCCAAGATCACACCACTGCACTACAGCCTGGGTATTATTATTCAAAATAATAATAGTAAGTCTACAGACAGCTGCAATTTTTGAGTGACTGGGTGCACCACAACTGCTCCCACTGGAGGGTGATACGTTTCCCTGCAGACAGGGATGAATTTGGACTGAAATGCAATTCTACCAATGCCAGCCAGTTAACCATTATATGATCTGGGTGTAGGGAAGCTTGGGGCTTCAGTGAAATTTCAAATGAAGTTTCCAAACTTAGGGGCTTAATTTTGCAGAAGTCACAGCAATAAATGCAGTCACCAAGGGAGCGGGTTTAACTGCGGCCCAGGAGAAAATGTGCTTTATTATTTAGTCCTGCAGTCTTCCATGATAAAACAAAATCAGGCTCTCCCTGTTATGCTTCAGGGAACTCATTTCATAGCCTATCATAGCTGCTGCGTTTACAAGTTACCTAGTTTAATGAATCCCAAACTTTGAGATTTCACTCAATAGAGAAAAGCTTTGGTTTGTTGTTTTTACCATGATTTGTGTATGGTTTTTAGTAAAGATTTTTGTAGTGAGATTATCAACTTTATCAATGTGTCAAGAAAGCTCATTTTAAAAATGAAAAAAACACTGGCCTGGTGTGATGGCTCATGCCTGTAATCCTAGCAATTTGGGACATCAAGGCAGGAGGATCATTTGAGTGCAGGTATTTGAGACCAGCATGGACAACACAGCAAGACCTTGTCTCTACAAAATATTTAAAAATTAGCCAGATGTGGTGGTGTACTCCTGTATTCCCAGCTACTCAGGTGGCTCAGGTAGGAGGATTGCTTGAGCCTGGGAAGCTGAGGCTGCAGTGAGCCAAGATCACACCACTGCAGTACAGCCTGTGTATTATTATTATTCAAAATAATAATAGTAGTAATAACATAAAAATGAAAAAACAAAACCCTGCCATCACCTTCCAGAAAAGATAAAACATTTCAACACTAAAGCAGTAGACAATACTATATGTTACTTGAGAACAATTTTTGCCAAGAATCTAATAAAGCATCCAGTCTTATTTCCAGGTTACAGAAGACATAGAGACAGAGGAACAATGTAAATAGCACCATGAGGAAATAATCAGAAGAATCTTTGGGGCACATTCTGTAAGGCAGCATGACCTAGAACCTTTCAATGTCATTGTCACAGGGAAAAGAGGTGGGGGCACCGTTCCAGATTGAATGAGACCAAAGAGACGAGCAGCCAAGTGCAATGCATGGACCTTGAATGAGTTCTTGTTCAGAGTAGGGAAAAGCTATACAAGACATTTTACAAAAAGTGAAGTGTAGAGTTACCATGTGACCCAGCAATTTCACTCCTAGCTATGAGAAATGAAAATATATGTCAGGGCCAGGCGCGATGGCTCAGGCCTGTAATCCCAGTACTTTGGGAGGCTGAGGCAGGCAGATCGCAAGGTCAGGAGACTGAGACCATTCTGGCCAACATGGTGAAACCGCATTTCTACTAAAAATACAAAAATCAGCCGAGTGCGGTGGCCACGCCTATAATCCCAGCTACCTGGGAGGCTGAGGCAGGAGAATCGCTTGAACCCTGGAGGTAAATGTTGCAGTAAGCTGAGATCGTGCCACTGCACTCCACCCTGGCAAAAGAGTGAGACTCTGCCTCAAAAAAAAATAAAAATAAAAAAATTAGGAAAATACATATCAGCCGAGAGTGGTGACTCATGCCTGTAATCTTATCAGTTTGAGAGGCTGAGGCAGGAGGATGGCTTGAACTTATGAGTTCAAGACCATCCTGGGCAACATAGTAAGACTTGTCTCTATAAAAAAAGAAAACACATGTCCACACAAAAATGTGCATAGCTGCATTACTCATAATAAGCAAAAAAGTGGAAACAACCTAAAAGTTCATCTAGTGATGATTGAATAAATAAAATGTAGCACATCCTTAAAATGGAATATTGTTCTGTCATGAAAAGGACAAAAGTATCGATTCCTGTTACAATATAAATGAACCTCAAAAACATTGTGCTAAGTGAAAGAAGCCGGACACAAAAGACTACTTGTCATTTGATTCCATTTATAGGAAATGCCCAGAACAGGCAAATTCATACAGATAGAAAGTCGATTAATTGTTCCCAGGGACTAGTGGATATGGAGAATGAAGAGTGACTGCGAGCAGGTTTCTTTTTGGGGTAAGGAAAATATTCTGAAATTAGATAGTGGTGATTATTACGGAACTCTATAAATATACT